TGATGGAACTGTAGCCAAGCATAAAGCAAGACTTGTGGCCAAGGGCTTTAGCCAAATACCTGGTATGGATTTTACTGAAACCTTCAGTCCTGTTGTTAAACCCATTACAATAGGGACAATTCTATCCATTGTTATATCTAAATGCTGGTTTACTAGACAAATAGATGTGGATAATGCCTTCTTGAATGGTGATTTAGACACAACCATTTACATGGTTCAACCCCCTGGTTATGAACATAATGACAATTCAATTTGTCTACTGAAGAAGTCCTTGTATGGCTTAAGGCAGGCTTCAAGATCATGGTATCTTAAACTTGGAGGTATCTTATGTTCTCTTGGTTTTAAGACTTCAAAATCTGACACTTCATTGTTTATCAAAATTGAGAAAGATTTCAGCATCTTCATCTTGGCATATGTGGATGATATGATCATTGTTGGCAGTGATAATACTCAAATTGATCACATCATCACAGCTTTCAGAAATCATTTTGCTCTTAAGGATTTGTGACCTTTAAATTACTTCTTAGGTTTAGAAGTGGAACATAAAGCTCAAGGCTTGTTTCTTAACCAGTCTTCTTACATCAAAAGCATCTTGAAGAAAGCTGGCATGACCAACTGTAAACCTCTCAGCACTCCAATGGTTTCCACACCATGTCTTCCCAAACACCTGGGGCAACCTATTGAGAATGGCACCTTGTATAGGCAACTTATTGGGGCACTTCAGTATGCTACCATCACTCGGCCAGAGATAACCTTCACTGTTAACAAATATAGTCAATATATGCAAAATCCTCTTGATACTCATTGGAAGGCTTTGAAGAGACTACTTAGGTATCTTAGTGGTACTCTTCACCTTGGGCTTCACATCTCTAAATCACCATCATTACAACTTATGGCCTATGCTTACTCGGATTGGGCCACAGATATCGATGACAGGAGGTCAACTTCAGGCTTTTGCATCTTTCTTGGTTGTAACCTGGTTGCTTGGAGCAGCAAAAAACAAAAATCTATTGCACGGTCGAGCACTGAAGCAGAGTGCAGAAGCCTAGTAGGAGCTACCTGTGACATTATGTGGTTAAGAAATCTTCTTCATGAATTACATGTTCCACAGCTTCAACCCACTACTGTTTGGGTTGACGATCTTGGCTCGGTTTTACTTTCTACCAATCCCATTCATCATTCTAAAACTAAACATGCAGAAATAGATCTCCATTTCATCAGAAAACAGGTACATCATCACATTATTTCGGTGCATCACATTCCTGCCATCGATCAAGTCGCTGACATTTTCACTAAGCCACTCTCCGGTCAATTCTTCACTCGGCTTCGCGACAAACTCACGGTTAAACTCCAACCCTCGTTCAAATTGAAGGGAGCATAATAGCATATATATCGGTCAAAGCAAGTCAAAGACTCATGCACACATTTTGGACGTATGCATGTCCATGTGGTCCACTTTTGTACCAGTTTTTATTGTCTTCTTTCTAGCTTATTTTCTAGCCTTAGATATTTGATCCTAAGGTGTAGGTCTCTCTAAGCTTATGTATATATAGTTACTGATTGGACATTCTAGGGTTCAACATATACTCAACAGATAATTCTCATTGTAGCTGCTACCTTGGATCTTGGTTTTTCTTGTTTGAATCTGTGAAAGCTTATTATCATGGCATGTGATCTTTGTCATTAGTATGTCTATGTTCTATTGATCTTCTTAAAGGTATAAGAGAGTTTGGGGCTGTTTGGTTAGCATGTGTAAAGCTTCGTTATTTTTAAAGAGAAAATCCATATTTTCCAAAAATCATAGTTAATTTTTCGCAATCATTTTTCATTTGAAACATTTTGAAGGACGCTACTCAAAGTCAATCGATCATACTACTCAGCTTAGCATCATTGTAAGTCGTTGGGAACTCATTGCCCAATCACCACCATATATGAGAAATAATCCACATCAATTAAATATCACAATAATCATCAAAACGATTCAACAATTTCAAAACCATGCAACATAAGTCATCAGTTCAAAACCATCCATATGAATTTTGAAAACAAGTTCAAGCGGAAGTAAAATCAAACATAGTTCATAAAACCAAATGACCACCTTCGTCCGTCCTTTGCCACGACCACCAGCTCAACCTAAAAAAGATGATAATAATGGGGGTGAGTAAACAACAAGCTCACCGTGGGAATTACCATACACATATATTACATACAAGCTTCCCATTATTTTGTCTTCCCCTTCCCATCATGGCACGTCTGCATTTCCTGATGTCCATGGCAGAGCTTGAGGTTAGGGTCCAACGTTCATGCGACAAGTTCATGGTCGTCGGCTCTGTCCGCTGTAGTTTTGGGGTAGGGCCTGAGTCTAGCTGTCTAGACCTCTAGATCCTCTCTGCCTTCTGGTGCAATAGCGTTTGAGTCTGACCAGGGGTAGACAGTTGTCATCGGTGGTGGTCAACTATCGTCGTCCAGTTTGGTATTGAGGAGTATGTTCGGTGTTAGGCTTTCTGTGTAGTCTGGGATGGTTCCTGTATGCTCGGTGTTGGGCTCTCTGTGTGGTCTGGGATGGTTCCTGTGAAAGGAGTTTGGTCTTGTTTGGTCTAGGTCTAGTTAGGCCTTAGTTGCAGTTTCTAAATCTAGGTTGGGTCGTGTTCTTATTTCTACCAAAAACTGTATCGCTTGGTAGCTTTCGGTTGTCTACTGGCGGTTGAGGAGGGATTTGTTATCTTTCTTTAGCTTTTAAGTTTAGTTTTGTGCGTGTTGTATGAGTTTGTGGATTGTTTTGTGTTTAGTTGTTGTTTTGATGCCTATTCTCTTTCTTTGGAGCATGTCAACATGAAGGAGTTATATAATTTGTTATTCAGAGGGTGCGATATTGTAGTTGCTTCTAAGCTACCTTTGTATAAGCCTCTTGGATTCAGTTCTAGTTGTTATCTAGTTGTAACTGTGTTTTTTTGGTTATATATATTTTCTATCGTTTTAGGGAAAAAAAAGATTGTCTGGTTGTATAAAACCAGACAAAGGAGATTCTGAGGCAATTGCGTAGATTACAGAGGTGACCAAGGGGGTACAATCTAACTCTGAAAAGAGACTAAAAAACTCCATGAAATAGACTGAAACCAAACAAAGCTGGATTATAACTAAAACAAAAAGAAAAAGTAAACAAAAAACTACCACACACACCTAAAAGATAAAATAAAGCCCTAACGGCTAACGACTAACATCACCTACACTACAACCCTCAAGACAAAAAATTAAAGGTAGCCTACAAAAAAGAGCTCGATCATAGACAAGAAGCTAGTCCAGATAGGAGGCCCACCCAAGAGAAAAACAACGTAAAAAGCACAGAAGTGGATGGGGGAAAGAGGACATCGACCTCGGTAATGCACACGGTGGCCACCTCCAATCGCCGGCCATGGCTCGCAGAGAACGCACGAGGGGTAGGGACGAGCTTGCCGGTAGGGACGCCAGCTGCTTGGAGGACGTAGAAGGGAGTTGTACACCAACAAGGAGGTAGATCTAAATTTGGGGTTTTGCTACAATTCATGAGAGGTTGGGGGAGAGGGGGGAGAGTGAATAAATAAGAGAAAGGGAATTTTCTTTTAGGAAAAAAAACAAAGACCCCTGGTATTTAGTAGTAAAAAAAATGAGGTTATTAAAAATAAAATTCAACTTTTAGAATAAGATGGGACGAAAATCATCTACAATTTTATAGTATTATAGTATTAAGGGGTTATTATATAAAGAATATTTTTTAACTCCTTCAACTAATCCCTCCTTGCGATTTTTTCCCCCAAAAAACCGTAGCCTTCGTCGCCTCAATTTTCGGCCAGTTGACCTCCTCCGGCGTCGGCGTGGCTGGGCGGGCGGTCGCCTCGACTGCCCAGCTTGTCCCTGAAGCTGTTCTCTCTCATCTTCGGCTGTGATTGGTGGCATCGTCGGCTTGGCCCAAGGCTGTTAACGGGCTGGATTCGTGGGTTCTCTCCCTCGAGCGGGGTCCGGTGGCTTGCAGGTTCTTGGAGTAGGCGGTTGTCTCTGGTAGGGGGAGTCGGTCTCTCGTTCTCGTCGGTTCAGCGCCTTGGTGCCTCCCCTAGGTCATTTTCAGGGGACGACTCCGTTGGAGTTCTGGAGTCGGGCGGTCCGCCGTTGTGGTGGCGTAGGGATGGCGGTGGTCAGTGTATAGGGAGGGGTCCGGTGGCCCGTGTTGGTGCTGCCGGAGTAGGGTCTCAGGCTTCGAGCTGGTGTTTGGTCGGAGTCCGATGCCCCCGAGTAGCCTAGTGGTGTTAGGTGCGCTTGGGGTATGTCGGTTTGGGGTTGCTCGCCTGCTTGTAACCTCGGTTGGTGGCAGAT